AGCAATACACCCCATCTGAGAGTGCTGCAATGCTTCAGGCTTTTGTTAGGAGCTAGCGATATTGAGCATTTGGCCCTTACGGACTTGTGGGCCGGACAATGTTGGGGCCGCCCTTCTATACCTCCAGACGAGTCTAAAAGTGATCAGTAGAAGCTGGAGGGGTGGGAGGATTGGCTGACCAGTTGGGATGTACACTCGAAACCACTGAGATGTGGTAGGGTAGCTGCTGACTTCGACCAAATGTGACGATGGCTGTGCTTTTGGTGATTTTCATTTGCACGAAATTGTGGTCGTGTCTCTGTCCAACACTCAATAAGGCGACAGCTGTCTCATACTGGAATATCTCACAAGTAATCCATTCTAGGCCATGTTCAAATGCCAAGCCTACACTGCCTTAGGGGATGAGGGGTGTAGATGTTGTACTTATTCCGCGATTACTTCATAGTGCAATCCTTGCATTGTGCAAGGTAACCCACGATCTGAGATGTTACAGCAATTTCATGGCTCGAAAAAGTGTGATTCAGGCGCGAAGACCACTGTAAGCTTGAGCGACCTCACCCATGAGCTGTAGGTACACTTCATATCTCGTAGATGGGGAAGGTGTTGCTGCGTACTTAATTAGAAATTTGCGGCGGCTGCGTTCTTTGTTGGGCGTTTTTTGTAGTTTTTTTTTGGAAGAACTGTAAGGCCGCGTTCATACATGATGCAGAAATGCCGAACCACGGAATGTGCAGAACTGCGGAATTTGCAGACCTGCGGAATTGGGAGAACCGCGGAACTTGCAGAAAAAGAAAATATGTCTATCGATTTCAAAAACCGTGGAATATGCAGAAGTGCGAAATGCCGATGGACCGATCGATCCCTATCGCTTCTTTGTCCGTAATTTCTGCATTTCTGCAAATTCCGCGGAATTTGCCGTCGTGCGGAATCTGCAGAATCTGCATTCTCTCCCAATTCCGCACGACGGCAGGGAAGAACCAATCGATCCCTATCATTTCTTTGTCCGTCATTTCTGCATTTCTGCAAATTCCGCGGAATTTGCAGAAATGCAGTTTTCAAATCGATACGTATGCATTTCCTTTCCGCAATTTCCGTCATTTCCACAACGTCGTCATGTATGAACGCGGCCTAAGCATGCCTTCATACAGCACAGTGCAGGATGACAGTAGCCTTAAACCGAAATCTTCAAAGAAGAAACTTATTGCGTTATGTCAAAATGGAGTGCGAGGCCACACCTTTGCCATCTTCACGATATGGAGCTTACTTCACCCAAAAATAGTGGCCTAACCTAGAGACGAAGGAAACTGACAATATCTTAATGTCTGTTATCTCGCTCGTCTTCCCGTTTTGTCATCCTTTTCTGACCTCTCATCCGCGTTCTCACTGCTTCTTCGCCTCTTTATTCCGAGACTGAACTGTAACAGTGTTTATTTGAGGTCTCTCGACGAATGGGATTTATCCCTATTCCGCTGTCTATAATGCTTATAAGGGTGCTCAGTCAGACGTTTTCTCTCCAGAACAAGACCAGCATAGTCATATGTGGTAATACTTTTTAGATGATCATTTGTGACCAGATCTTACTGCTTATTTCAGTTATCGCATGGCTGCTCATGGTGGCTATAAAAATATGCAATGGTATAGTCCTTTTGGGCAAGGCTTGCGCCCATGTTATGGCTTATAAAGAGCTTCAGGTACGTAGTAGAAAGGCAGACACTAATCCAGGATGAGAAATCGTTCTTTCACGTCTGAATGACTCTCCACCATAAAAGCCTTTACTTCCTGGTTCTAGTGTAACGAATTTGGTAAATCTAGGCACGTGCTGAATACGATCTATACCGCAAGCGAATGGTTGAAAAGAAAAGTAAGAGTGCCCCGAGCTCACCTAGGATAAGCCTGATAGACTTCTCGGGTATGTGAGGAATAGATTTGTTCTTCGCATTCCTTAGGTGCTTATTTATTGCAGATGTTCTGCACCAGACAGCTGGCGTCAAAGGTTACACTATATCTGATCTGATATGTCAATGGGAAGATTTGGAGACGATCAGCCAACGACGAAGCAGCGAACGTGAGCGTGAGGAGCGGCCACCACGAAGAACACAAAGTCTGGCACATATGACACGGTAGGTTAGCCGATTCCTTTGCTAGTTTTCGAGCACCACCATCGAGAGGGTAATGCTCAGGGCTTTCTGGTTCGACTTCTGACCTTGGTCCGTTCAGCATAAGTGGTACGCTTGATTAGGGCTGCGTTCAGAATTCGCGATAACGCGCGTAGCGTGTGATTGCTGCGATACCGCTCCAGCGCTATAGATGGGAATGCAACCATAGAGCGTATGGATCGGTTCCCTTTGTTAGTGTTTTGGGGAGCAAGGTGCTTTGGGCACAGCCAGATACATTGCTGTTCTCCTATACTTTCCCAAAAGGCTAGCTCATACTCATCTAAGGCTACTGAGTTTGCGCATCTACAGAGGCGCTGGAAGGCCCGTTGTACGCGGTAAGCGCGACGACGCGCGTCATCGCAAGTCTGAATGCAGCTCAAGAGGCGAAAGCGAACCACTTTTGCTCAGTTTTGAGCACATAGCCCATCACTCTGCAACCTTTTTTCTTCTGACCGTCTTGAATAGTAGAGCGGACATCACCAGTACCATCGATCCAGTAGTTGGTCTTCTTGGTGAACGCTCAGTGCAAATGGAGTGTGCTCTCAAGTAGGGAAAGCCATTGCTTCAGAGTCTTCTGGATCATGACGGGGCTGAATAGAGATGTTGCTGAGCCCTATTTGAGGGAACCGTCGATGACAGATGAGAATTCGTTATGATTTGGGTTCTAAGATTTCCGATCACATGATAGGATAGAGCCCGCCCTAGATTACAGGGAGGATGTTGTACGGTTTCCCCCAGTGAAGCTAGCGGCTAAGCAGATAGCTGTTTGTGAAAGTCAGCCCATGCAGTGGTTTTTCCTGTTTTTTTTTCTTTTCGAAATATTAGATTTTTCAGTGTCAAACGGGACAAGAGTGAACCTCCGTCATCAATCCCTGAAGTAGATGAGAAATCAGCCAAAAGATGAGACTCCATACCCTGCCGAAAGGAGGGACAAGGAAAAGGAGAAGTCTGAGTACGTTTACATTCATTATTAATTTTCCAATCCATAGGGTCCTGTCTGCTGTTCTGGTTGACGTCTGATAAAACATGAAAATTTGATTCGTTTAATTGCTCAAAGGCAGTGGAACGATCGCTGCGGCGTCTTGTCTCCAGTGTTGTCTCCAGTGTCTTCGGTGGAAGGGCTCAGTGGATGCGGCCAGTCGCCCTCTCGCAGACCTTCCACCAATGCCGCTGGGAACGAGCGCCCGCCTCCAGCAAACGTGCCCACTTCCTTCAAAATATATGATACTCCCTCTAGACGCAGAGCTTGTCGACTCGTGCTTTACCGGCTACTAGTTTTCTCTGCTGGTGAAAAAGCGTGGAGGTTATGTAATGGCACGTAGTGCAATTAGCACGTGCACACTCTGGGATCGAATTTCGGATTAGCTCTCATTCAAGCCAATCAAGCCTTTCATATCTCCGGGATGCGGAAAACATTTGTCCGGAAGGATAAAACACTGATTTTCCCTTTAAGAACCGTAACGAATATCCTTTTTATCACTTTCTATAATCACTATATTTTTTTCAGTGCTTCTCAATGCAGTCCGAAGAAGAAAGTAGCTACATCATCGACTAGTTGTGATGTGCTGGCTGATGTTACGGCGTACACTATGCTCCCACCCGAACAAGGTGTTGAACGGATAGAATGATTGCTGCACGAGTAAATTGTACTCGGATCAAATGTGAGGATTTTCAAGTGTGGGGATATTCGGATATCAGCTGGTGGTGTTCTCTTTTATACCAAGACTTGTAACTGCACATCGAAAGTCCAGAAATTGTTACTGTACACTTGAAGTCCAAAAAGCATTTTTTTTGAAGCCGCTTTGAAGTTCAGTTGTGAACCTCCAGCTCTAGACGCTCGCTGCTTCCACTAAACGCAACGCAGTATAACTCGCGGATAACTGGAGGCGCAAGTGAAAGCTTCATGTTCCCAGGCAGAAGCTTTTCTGACAAGAACTGGATATCTTTAGCCTTGGCAAGCATCTGTACAAGGTTGCTGTCTGTACAGATACCCGTCGGTTAATGGGCATCTCCTTCATTGTTGATAGCAGTTTCTGCCGCTTGGGGAAAACTTGCAAAATGCGACCCCGTCCTCAGTTCGTCCTCTGCTACGACCGCCCTCCCCCTTCCCCATTATCCAACTTTTCTCAGCCCCCTACCACATTTTCCGAGAGGTACCTCCCTTCCCCTGAAAAAGCCATCGAAGAGAGGGAGGGAGCGCTAATGAAATGGGGAAAACCGCAAGGTCAACAACGGGAAAAGTTCTCGCAACGCGGCAAATTCCTCTCAAAGGCAAACACGACCTCCCTCCCACAACGTTGAACGAATGGATCTCCCTTCTCCTTTACAGGACTTTTCCCAACGACGTGATTAGCGCTCGTGAAACAAAAAATCAACTATCATAAAAAAAATTTCTCAGGCTAAATACGCCCCCCCCCCCTTCCGTCGAGCGATCAAATACCCTCCGCTGGGGATCCCCTACCATAGGACGTCCTCTGATTACCACCTAAAACG